GGTTGCTCCACATAAACTCCTTCAAGATAACCATTTAGAAAAGTTTATTTCACATCCATTTGAAAAATCTTCCACTCATTTTGCGTGGCAAGAGTGACAATTAATATTATGGTTTCTAAGCGAGCAACAGGGGCAAATACCTCTTTATAATCGATCGCCGACCGTTGGTTGTAGCATTTGACAACCAATCTTGCTTTGTATCTCTCCACTTCTCCTTTATCATTCTTCTTTACCTTGTACACCCACTTGACTCCGATTGCTCTTTTTCCTTTGGGAAGAGTCGTCAGCTCCCATGTGTCGTTCTTCTCAATAGCTTTAATCTCTTCATCAATGACATCTCTCCATCTTTTATTTTGCACTGTTTCTTCATACCTTATTGGCTCACAATTAGCAAAAAGACAAAAAAGTATGAGATTATTTTGATTCTCTGTTACCTCATATAGCTCTTGTAGGCTCATCATCCGTAGTGTCCTTTCGCTTGAGCTTTCTCCTTGTGAAGATGCTGGTGAAGCATCTCCATGAGCAGGTGATAGAGGTGGACTGGTAGGCTCTTGCCGCTCTTCATTCTTTTGTTCTTCTTCTTCAAAGAATGGCAAGAAGTCGTAGTCTTCTTCTTGGACACCCCAATCCCAATCTCCTTCTTCATTGAACTCGACGTCTCTACTTATGATAATCTTCTCCTTGCTTGGATTATACAGTTTGTAGCCTTTGGAGCGAGAGTCATAGCCGATAAAGACATACCTTTCACTCTTATCATCTAGCTTGGACCGCTTTTGATCCGGTACATGAGCATATGCAATGCTCCCAAATACTCGCAGGTGAGAGATACTGGGCTTCCTTCCACTCCATGCTTCTTGTGGTGTCTTATTCCACACACTTCTAGAAGGAGATCGATTAGATAGGTATACAGCGCAATTAACAGCTTCGGCCCAAAGTTCTTTGGGCAATCTCTTGCTTTTGAGCATGCAGCGGGCCATGTTAAGAATTGATCTATTCTTTCTTTCGGCTACTCCATTTTGTTGTGGAGAGTATGAAACCGTTAATGGGCGACGAATTCCATTTTCTTCACAATATTTCTCAAACACTTTGGAGGTAAATTCTCCTCCTCTATCCGATCTCATGGCTTTTATGCTATAGCCACTTTCCTTTTCAACGAGAGCTTTAAACTTCTGGAAAGTTCTAAAAACTTCCGATTTCTGTTTGAGAAAATAGACCCAAGTCTTTCTACTAAAATCATCAATGAAGAGAACAAAGTAATTGTTCTTACCGAGAGAGCTTGGATTGATTGGCCCACAAACATCTGCGTGTACAAGTTCTAGCGGCTTCTTAGCTCTTGTAGATGCTTCTTTTGGAAAACTTTTCCTCGAATGCTTCCCAAGTAAGCATCCTTCACATAATTGATCCGGATGATTTATTGGAGGCAAACCTTTTACCATCTTCTTCTTACTTAACAACTTTAAGCCCCCAAAATTAAGATGCCCAAATCTTAAGTGCCAAAGCCAAGATGAATCTTTAAAACAAGCTTTTAAGCATTTAGCAACATCATTTTGAATGCTTAATGCAAACATTCTATTTCTTGTCATAGGGACTTTAGCAATCAGATTTTTTCTTTGATCTCTTATTGAAAGACTATGATCTTTCAAATAAATATCATAGCCCTTCTCTAAGAGTTGTCCCAAGCTCAGAATATTATTCTTCATATTGGGCACATAGTAGACATTTGAGATAAATTGATGCATACCATTCTTCAAGCGAATCAAGATTTTACCTTTGCCTTTCACGGGGATCTTCGATTCATCTCCAAAAGTAATATTGCCGCTTACCGATTCATCGAGCTCCACGAACATGTTTCTTCTTCCGCACATATGGTTGCTTGCTCCCGTATCCAAGTACCAAGTGTTTATTTCCTTGCTTTCTTCACCTTTGTATGCCATCAATAGTGTAGGATCCACTTCATTTTCTTGACTAGCATAGTTGGCTTTCTCCTTGACTTGGTTATTACCATTTCTACATTCTAAAGCATAATGGCCAAATTTTTGACAATTGTAACATTTAACTTGAGATTTGTCATACCTTGGCCTTTCATTTTGCCTCGTACCTTTTCCTCTTCCATAACCTCTAGTGGAAAACGAGCTTAGGCTTCTTTCCTCCTTGTAGAATGCACTTCTTCCTTGATTTTGGCCCCGTCCTCTTCCTCTTTGGCTTCTCCTACTGCTGAACTTTCCTTCACCCTTGTTCAAAGCGAGGTTTGTTTGAAGAGCTTGCTCTAATGGCTCTTCTTTCACCTTCTTCTTTAGTCTTTCCTCATGGGCTTGTAAAGATCCCATGAGTTGATCGACACTCATACTATCTAGATCTTTAGATTCCTCAATGGCTACAACTATGTAGTCAAATTTAGAATCTAAAGACCTAAGTATCTTCTCAATTACTCGAGTGTCACTCAACTTTTCTCCATTCCTCTTTAATTGGTTCACAATGGCCAATACTCTTGAAAAGTAATCAGATATTGATTCCGATTCTTTCATATGTAAAGCTTCAAACTCACCTCGAAGTGTTTGGAGTCGAACCTTTTTCACATTCTCAACTCCTTTGTGGGAGTTTTACAAGATCTCCCTTGCTTCCTTACTTGTAGTAACACAAGCTACTTTCTCGAACATGCCTTCATCTAAGGCTTGATAGATGAGGGTGAGCGCCTTGTTGTCCTTCTTCCTTGCATCCTTCAAATTATCCCTTTGTGCTTGGGATATAGTGACCTCGTCATGTGGCTCTGTGTAGCCTTTTTCTACAATCTCCCATGCATCTTGCGACCCGAGCAATGCCTTCATCCTTATGCTCCAATTATCGTAGTTATCCTTGTTGATTTGAGGGACTTGAAAATAAATCATCCCACTTGCCTTTTTTCACAAGGACCTTAGGGCTCTGATACCAGTTTGTTGGAGGAAAGAGAGGTTTACTAACTTGGTAGGAAGGACAACACTAATAGGAAGAAATAAGTAAAAGGTAACTTATATTTCTCAACTTCAAGACTTAGACACTTGACTTGTTACAAAATGGATGAACTCTATCCCTTTATATAGGGTTTACATGAAGCTACTAGACCACACATTTCCTAGAGCTTTCTAGACTTCATAGTTTCATGAGACTTCTAGATCACATATTTAGACTAGATATTTTCCTAGAATAGTCTGGATAGAATTTTTAGAACCACATAATCTATTTGACACATTACCATATTTATGACCACAACTTAGATATTTTCATGGATCTTTATAGAACATGTTTCTAGAAATGTTAGACTTTATTAGATTTTTTAATTAAATTGAACATATGAGTAAAATTCTTAAGCCCGTATTACTTACTCCAAAATCAAGTTTACTTCCCAACATTCTAACCCGAGAATCAAATATCATAAAATTAAGCCCCTATTCGATGTCCATTATTTAATAAAAATGAGTTTTATAACAATGAATTTTTGGAAAATGTGTAGTTAAAAAGTTAAAAAAATTTAATTTACGTGTAAAATATATTATTTTGAAAATGTAAGATTGAAAATGAGTTTAAAAAAATAGAGAGATTTTTAATAATGAGAATCAAACGAAAGCCAAAATAGAAGATTCAACACGTTGCATATTTGGTTTATTTTAGGTACTGGTACGTAGGTGCTTTCACCTGCGTGTTGTCTGTCTAATTTGTACTATGTAGGCTTATGTCGTTTTCATGAATTAACACATTACATGGAGGATATTATGAAGGGAGCTGCTATATGGCCAAGGCCAACAGGGCCACATTAGCCCTAGCCAAGCAGCCACATTCGCCCTTGGACGGCGAGGATTACGTACTTACGTTGACTTACTACTTCTCGAACAAGCTTTCTTAATCATATATGGGACCCCCCAAATTTGGACCCAAGTACTATATTTTTCAGGTTTTCTCAAGTTAATTTTAATTCAATTACAACACATTTTATTCTGAGTAATGTTATTCATCCTCAATGGGGATGAAAATACAATTTACTTGACGTTAATGTGACATTAAATGATAGGTGAAATTAAATAAGTCAAATTCACATTTCATTTAACCTATCATTTAACGCCACATAGACTGTATTTTCTTCCACACTGGGGATAAATAACATTACTCTTTTATTTTAATTACTTGATTGTCTTCTTGTTACTTTTTTCTGTTTTCCGTGCAGGGTTGGAAATGTATTATTTTAGGAAATTAGGAAAATCAAATACAAATCTGATGCATGTTCCTCAAGTGGAGCATTTTATTAGAATGTTTAAGAAACCCTATATATCTTGCGTGAATTTGATAATTTCATTAACTACTTCAAAAAAACCTAATAGAAAGGTGAAAGGGAAAAGCTGAAATGGGAGCAGGTGCGTGATGAGGCGGGAGTTGGTGGTTGAAGAAGAAGACGAAGATGTGGGAAGAAGTCGTATAAGAATAAAATTCAGATTTGCAGTGAAAAAGAGGTTTTCTAAATGGAAAATTTTGTGCATAGACATAAAAAGCACGAAAACTCGTAAACTTATCATATACTCGTATTTGATACTTATTCAATTTTGGACATTGTCTGATATGCTCTAATACGTTATGTATATGTGTGTGTTTGTTTTAAAATTATGTTATTTTTTTTATATTTCAAAAATTTACGATATGTATATACTAATTTTTTAATTATTTTTTATACGTATCATATATGTTAGGACACCTGAAGAAGGGTTTTATTAGTTTTAAACTCTTTTAAAATTTACTACTATTGGCTATAGATCAACTAAAAAATTTATCGTGTCGTATTCAAATTACAAATCCAAATTCGTGGCATAGACTGGTTACTTTGAATATAAAACAAGGGCCTTCTAAAAATTTCGCACAAATTTTAGGACCTATTCATATTTTATCTTATTCAAATTTATCTCAAGTCTTTGTCAATGTGATCTTGTTTGTAGCCATATAAAATCACAGCTGAATCACTAGAATTCTTCTGTTTTGCCATGGAGAACCTAAAGTATTATCTTCTCGTCTTACCTTTAGTTTTCTACATGATATTGAAATACTTACTATTCAATTCCCACCAAAAGTCACCACCAAGTCCACCAGCACTTCCAATAATTGGCCACCTTCACCTTATCAGGAATTCCCTCTACCAATCACTAGCTGCACTATCGTCCCGATATGGTCCCATTTTTTCTATCAAGTTAGGGTGCAAATCGTTTGTTGTGGTTTCTTCTCCATCTGCCATAGAAGAATGCTTCACAAAAAACGACATAGTATTTGCCAATCGGCCTCGGTGCATGGCTGGTGACCTGCTGACATACAATTATGTCACCTTGGCATGGTCACCTTATGGCCATTTCTGGAGGACGCTTCGCCGACTAACTGTCGTTGAACTTTTCTCTTCACATAGCCTCCAAAAGTCTGCAAAAATACGTGAAGAAGGAATACAATCCCTTCTTCGAGTATTGTTTAAAAGCTCAAAGAATGGAATTCAAAGAGTTGATTTGAATTATTTGGTTTCTACTTTTGGTTTCAATGTTATGATGAGAGTTATTGCTGGAAAATGGTGTGTTGAAGAGAAAGAAGTTGGAACTGAAGTCGGAAAGCAGATAGTCCAAAAAATCAGGGGGATTTTATTTTCAAGTCTGTCACTTAGTTTGTGTGATTTTTTTCCTGCATTGAGGTTGGTTGGTTACAAAGGCCTGGAGAAAAATCTGATATCACTTCACAGAAAGAGGGATGACTATATTAAGATTTTGATAGATGAGGCTAAAGGGAATGGGATTACGTTTTCCGGTTCCACAAGGGAGAAGAACACTTTGATCGAAACGCTGTTGTCTGCTCAAGAATCGGAACCTGATTTATACTCCGATGATGTTATCAAAAGCGTTATATTGGTAAGTAATTAATGTTATAACTTTTGTTTTTTGTTACCTTGTCTTTTATCAGATATCTTCCATTAAGTCTACGGTCCCATCAGCATACTTTTCACAAGCAAACTTGGATATTTTTGGGTCATATCAGCATATAGTTTTATGAAAGATAAGGGGTTATTTTTTTCGTATTTCAGTTTTTAATTTTGAATTTTGATTTCATTTTGAGATTATTGAAAATGCGTACTTTTAGTCATTTTCAAAAATTATTTTCGAAAATAAAAAAATGAAATTTTGGCTTGGTTTTAACTGAAAACAGCCGAAATGACTTTTTTAGCATTTTCCGTTTTCTTTGTAAATTTTAAACTTGTTTTTGAAAATTCGTTTCGAAAAATAGATAGTAAACGTGTTTTTAGTGTTTTCAAAAATTAAAAACTGAAAATAACCTGAAAACAGCAAAGAGAACAGACCATAATATTTTACAACCGCTTGAAATTAAATTGTAAAGGAAGAGTTCAAGTCTTTATAATCCTACAAGTTAAGCTTTAACTCAGTGACATGAGACTCAATTGGAGTCATAACAAGTAACAACCTAGACCTCCATTTAGGATTGACGTCCAAACTGTAATTTCCATTTCAAGTAAGGTGACTTCTGCTGATTCTGCCTTGAGTAGGAATCAAGTTTCTTAAGGTCAGAGGCCTGTGTGAATAAAGGTTATCCCCTTATAGTGGTGGTTATTACAAAATTTGTGGCTGCATTTTGCTTTTCATAAGTAACTGGAAAAGTTTCAGAAACAATAACTAGAAGAGCTTGACATCATAATCAGATTTGGCTAATAATTTGGCTAACAGAAGTACCTCCTATTGTCTAGGTACTGTTTGTGGCAGGAACAGAGACCTCAGCAGCTGCTATTGAATGGGCTATGTCACTACTCTCAGATCATCCAGAGGCATTACATAGGCTAAGGAAAGAGATTGACACTAATGTTGGACATGGGCACTTGTTAAATGACTCTGATCTTGCTAAACTTCCGTTTTTGCGTTGTGTTGTAAATGAGACACTACGACTCTACTCTCCAGTGCCACTGCTTTTACCTCACTGTTCATCGGAAGATTGCAGTTTAGGGGGGTACAGAATTCCTAAAGACACAATCTTGTTGGTGAATGCTTGGGCCATGCACAGGGATCCAAAGGTGTGGGACGAGCCTGAACGATTCAAGCCAGAGAGATTTGAGGCAATAGAAGTGGAAAGAGAAGGCTTCAAATTTGTGCCTTTTGGAATGGGGAGGAGAGCCTGCCCTGGAGCCGGTATGGGTTTGCGAACAGTTTCGTTGGCATTAGGTGCATTTGTTCAGTGTTTCGAGTGGGAAAACGTAGAAAGTGACAACATGAAAATGAACTATAATTCCAAAGTTACTATGCAGAAGGCTACACCTCTGGAGGCCATGTGCATTCCCCGGCAACATGCTGTTGATCTTCTCTCACAACTCTGAAGTTGTTAAAGGTTGATATCCTTAGTATTGCTATAAATAACTCTTCTCTCCAACCATTTCCACCGAAGTTGAGCAATCAAATACTGAGAGCATTTGATGTCTTCGTAGGGGTGATTCTCGTTGTGAAAACTCGTTTAATAATCGAAGCTATCTTCATATTACTTGCTTGTGTTGTGTTCAACATAAATAATCATTATGCATTTTATCTAGTTTGCATCAATTGTTTTAACTGGAGATGTAAAATTACTGCAGGAGTATGTAGGCTTTTGTTTAACATAGCAATTAGAACTCGATAAGATTATCCATATTTTTCTTCTGTCAATTAATCACTATTAGTGAGAAGTAGAGAACAAATGAAAGTAAAGAAATGATGCTGTCATGCTGTTATATTCTATGGATCGGTGTGATCAAGCAAGTAGGTATCTTTCTTGTCCTGTTCTTTATTTTTGCACAAGCGCGGGCCAGCTGTCTGTCTTGCCCGTAATGGGTGGTTTGGGGCAAATTGAGAAAATGACTATAAATGTGCGATTGCTATACAGTAATATGGTATTGCACTAGTCGACAACGTTGTCGTGAAACCGATTTTGGAAACATTTAAAGGAGCACGTATGGATCTTTCAAGGCTTAATCTTATCTGCTGCAGTGCACATCCAGATTTGGATCTTTTCAAAAAGCAGATGCAACGACAAAACGAATGAAAAAAGAAAAGAACAAATCAGTTGGGCTCATTGACAAAATCCAGTCATCATCTTACGCAGTATGATCTCATCCATCCCGAGTTGAAATACTCCACAGATTAAGCCCCTGTTTGTCTACCATTTTTCAAAAAATTGTTTTCTACAGTAATCAATCTCTACCACACATTCAAATAATAAAATATTCTACACATAAACCGATAAAGTTTCTTTCAATTTCAACCACACATTTTTTAAAAAATAATATTCATTACACCATTTTTTTCTCAATAATGGTTGACAAACAGACACTAAGAGCAGGAGATATCATGTCCACAAGTGAGGTGGCACCTCACCAACGTTTTAGACCCAACTGGTAAGGTGGCAAAATCACAACTTGTCAACTGACTGGTGGACAAGATAGGAGATCAGTCCTGATCGAGAGACAATGATTGTTATAGAATATCCAGCCTGATTATAAAATATAAATTCTCTTCTTCTTGCAAACATGACTTTTGTTAGGCCTCTTACCTATGTTTTGTACATTGCCATTCTTCATATGTACAGAAGATAAGAAAAGATAATGGGAAGTTGAACAAGTAAACAACCTATTTGAAGAGGCATATTTCATAGAGTTGGCTATGCGTTCAATCTAAACTTTTGAAGACTTCTATAAATTTAAAAAGTCTAGGTGCATTCAATCAACGCTTTTAAAATCATATAAAACTCTTGCGATATTCAATATAAAATTTTTAAATATCCTTACAGTTATCTAATCAAGACTTTTAAAAGTCTTGAGACAAATCATTCTTACGAAATATTAAAGACTACGAGTTACCAAAAAATAAAATAATAATAATAATAAATAAAATAAAATAAAATAAAAATACTGAGAGTGAAAAGCTCACTGTTTTTAGATCTTTAATAGTAATCACTTAATTTTTCTTTTACTAAAACATTCAGAATTATTTTATTCCTTCCTCCCTCCCAAAACCCTCGATTTAGATTCACGTGTCCATTAATTTCCTGGTAAGACTCCATTTTTCAAAAAGTTTTCTATGTGACAAATGATCAAATAAGTGTTTTAAAAATTTATCCTTCTGGATCTATATATTGGTGGCACCTATTTTGAAGTTAAATCGATATTTTGAAAAAAGAAACTTAATTCGGTGTCAAGTTTATAATATTTAGACAATTTTTATTTAAATGTATATAATATTTGGCTCGTGTTTATAAACTATTTGTAAAGAAGATAATTTTTATTCACATATTTCTAGCTACCAACAAGTATTATCCACTTATTCATCATTGATTTAATCTTTTTATAATTTAAAACGTTTATAACACTCTCCAAATATTACAATTCCAATTAATTAAAACAACTCAATTCCATTTACATGGAAATAAAAAAGAAAAGAAAAAGATCAGGCATCAACATCCGGACTTAATTGTACTAATAGTCCCTAATGTTCAAATGAAAATTTAAATTGGCCATTAAAGTATTTTTGCAATCCAAATTAAATTGATTACTCCGCAAACTTGTATGCAATGAAATAGTTGTTAAACCTTCTTGTGACTAATAATCATTAAAGCGATCAATTCTTTCTAGTTGATCAAAATGAGGTTACACTTAAAGGAAGCATTTTGAAATATTTTGACAATTTTATTTTAAAAATTTGTAATTTCACGACATGGACATAATGATTATTATTTGATATCAAGGTTTAAATGGTGGATGTCGGATCCAGAGTGGATGCCGGTAAAGGAGCTGCCAAATATGTAACATGCTTAATTTAGTGACTAAATAGATCACAAAAATACTTTATTGACCAATTTGACCTTTTACTTAAACTTTAGTGACCATCTGTAAAATTTACTCAAACAATTCCATAGATAGACTATATTAATTATTAAATTCAAGAATTGTGGTCACTAAAGTATTACAACAACCGAAATACAAAAAATTAGTATCGAAATTCAACTTAAGTCTCTTATAAGACATATCTCCTGGGTTCGAATCTTAGGAGGACACAAAATAAAATAGTGAAGTGTAAGATGGGTAGATGCTCTCCCATCGAGAACAGTAGTATCAATTAATTGTTTGGATATAGAGATTCGGATCATCACAATAAAAACACTAATTTTTGTAATGACTCGAACTTTTGGCACCTTTTATGTTCTACAGAAGCTACAGAAATTTTAGATAACTTGCCTAAAGGACATGCTAAACAAGACAAGGATTTAGAATTACTAGAACTCAACAAATTATTGGATTTTAAAATGGAGGAAACTGTTCGGTGATGAGGATGCCCAATCTTTCATGCCAAGTCGAGAGCGGAACAACTTCAACCACATTAACCTCTTTTCTAGGTGATCGAAAAATATACATGCCGTGTTCACTCGGATCTCTACGTAGGATTTCCATGGTCAGCTGGTCCTTAACAAAAAATGAGTAGGACAAAATTCAAAAAAAAGGGCATTTGTTATCGGTGGTGAATTTTTGGACCGAAAGAAGAGATTGTTGAATTTTAAGAACATGAAGAACATTGTTTAAAATAAAATTGTGATTTGAAGAATGATAGGTGGTAGTACCTGTATGAACTATTGACAACCCTTGTCTGCTTCCAATTCGCAATTGATCATGACCCTTGTAATCATGAGCAACGCTTAAATTTTCTATATCTGGAGTAACATGATGCGTTGCTCTGGTGTTTGGTGTCCAAGGAAAAAATTGAGTACCTTGATAGAATTGATTGTTTGACACAAGTGAACAAGAGCGTACCGTCCACATCATGTGTGCCTAAGGAGCCCGACGTTAAGAATGTTAGGAAAACCAACAGTTTTCTAAATTATTTAGGAGGTTAGAAAAACCAACGACTTTTCTATTTAATGGCACTCCTAAA